TAGCCATTACTTCATATGCTGGCTCCAACATTTTTTTTTGTAAGAATTATTTTATTTAAATAAATTTTATTTATTTTATTTAAATAAATTTTATTTATTTATTTTATTTCATTTGATCAGAGAGGGAGGGACAGAGTGAGAGACAGAGAGAGCGAGAAAGTGAGAAAGCAAGCCACCAGGTCTGGGACTCAAACTGCAGTTGGCCATGTGGGAGTCCAGCGCCTTAACCACCACGCCATCTGCTGGTCCCCCCGACTTTTTCTTTTTTAATTTGCCAGAGGGTGCACGTATTCACCAGAGACAGAAAGTGAGAGGGAAAGCAAGGAGGCATCCCCCGATGAGGCACGGTCAGGCGATAATCCCTTCTGCATTTCTCCCTCCTTTCGGGATTTTGGACATGCACACACCCACACTCCCACCCCCAGCACGTTTTCTGAGCCGCCAGGTGTGGGACTTAAACCAGATTTGGCTAAAGTTCCTCTGAAGCACTAACCTTTTTTAGATACATTCACATGGTATAGAGTTGTAAATGACTAAAAGGACATGTAATGAGAACTCCATTCCAAAATCTGTGCCGGGTGTGGACGCCTTTGGTTTCTGCTCTAGGGCACGTGCACTCGCCAGACAGAGACAGACAGAAAGTAAGAAATCACTTCCCGGGGGGATGGCCACGGTGCGGGCCCTTCTCCTCTGTTCTCCTCTCGGGATCTTGGGCACGCACACACACACGCCCGGTGTGAGTTTTAAGCCACTGGGTCTGGGATGTGAACCGCGGTCGACTACGTGGGAGTCCAGTGACATGGCCATTACGCTAACTGCTGGTCCCGATAAATTTTTTTTAAAAGAAAAATGTTTGTCACAGGGTGTGTGTGCTCGACAGAGAAGACAGACAGACAGAAGGCAAGAATGACCTTTCTGGGAAAATGGCCACACCTTAATCCCTTCATTCTCCTCTCAGGATTTTGGGCATGCACACACACACACCCTGCATGAGTTTTGAGTTTTAAGTTGTCAGGCTCGGGACTTAAACCACAAGAATTTGAGTAGGAGCCCAGCAACATAACCATTACACCATCTGCTAGACCCCTATTTGCTAAAGTCTTAAATAAGTGTTTAAAATAGGTTTGTGGTTTTAAAGACCTTTTTCAAGTGTTTTGAAGACTGTAGGGGAAAGCCTTGTCACTTCAGAGATAGAAGTGGCCCAGCCGGTGACACAGGAGTAGGATGTCACTGTGCGGCGCAGGTGTGTGTGGGAGGCTCTTAGCTCAGATCCTGGGTCACCTTGAGCGTGCCTGGCGCATCTGATCCCGGAGACTGGGGTGGGACTTGCCGTACCCGGGGCACCCTCCCCGCCCCCGTCAGGTGAAGAGGGAGAACGTTGGAGTCCTTCCTTTAGCAGCACACACACTACTGGGCTTCTTGAGCATGAGAATTGTTCCTTTTCTTCAGGGCATTAGATCCAGGGGCCGATGGGATCACGGAGTAGATTCCCTAGGAGAGGCTGCAGGGACATTCTTCTGGTGCTTAATTAGTAAGCAGCTGGTGTTCTTTCAGGCAGGCCATCACTCTCACTCGAGAAGCCCTCGGCCACTTCCAGGAGGCTGAACCCTTCAGTCACACAGACCCGGAGGAGTCAGAGGAGACCAGATTCCTGAATCTCCTGGGAATTATCTTCAAAGGTAATTAATTCCTTTTCCTTTTTCAAAAAACAAAGTATTTCAACTCGTATTTATTGAGCATTTACTTTATACCAGGTACTGGCCTGGCTAATGGGTTCTGACGCTACGAGAAGCTTGAGGCTTGGCAGTACTTCCGCTCTGGAATGGAGTAGCTCACGGCCCTAGGGCCAAACCACAGGGGTCTTGGGAATCTTTTTTTTTTTTTTTTTGACAGAGAGAGAATTTTGCTATAGGGCGTGTGCACTCATCGGACAGAGTGAGACAGACAGAAAGCGAGAAATCACCCTCCGAGGAAGATGGCCATGCCACAATCCCTTCTCCATTCTCCTCTCAAGATTTGGGCATGCACGCACACTCCCAGTGTGAGTTTTAAGCTACCAAGTCGAGGCTCAAACCACAGTCAGCCATGTGGGAGTCCAGTACCTTAACCACCACGCCACCTCCTTTATTGAGAAAGAAACTGAGGGACCAGCCGTTGGTGTAATGGCTATGTCACTGGACTCCCATGTATTTGACCATGGCTTGAGTCCCGGACCTGGTGGCTTAAACTCACACTGGGCACGTGTGCGTGTGTGCCCAAGATCCTGAGAGGAGAATGGAGGAGAAGGGATTGTGGCGTGGCCATCCCCCTGGGGGGTGATTTCTCACTTTCTGTCTCTGTCTCTCTCTGGCTTTCCGGCAAGCACACGTGCTTGCGCCCTATAGCAAAAACCTCTCAAAAATAAATAAATAAATAAATAAAATACAAAGAAAGAGAAACGGACTGAGATGTTTTTGACTGAGTTCGAATATGCCCTCACCTCGTAGACATACTCAGGGTGTCACAGCCTATGTGCCCTTGAACAGAAGCCGTCCTCTACTTCTCACTGCCAGGCCCAGCCGTTTCCAAGCAGGAGAAGGATCCCCAGGACTCTGCCGGGAACGTGGTGCCTGGAGAGACTGTCTGTAAAGACGAGTCCAGCGTGCCAGAGCCTGAGGGGCCCAGGGGCAAGGATGAGCTGGTGAAGCAGCAGATGCTGGTGCAGTACCTGCAGGACGCCTACTGCTTCTCTCGGAAGATCACGGAGGCCATCGGCCTCATCAGCAGGATGATGTATGAGAACACAACCACAGGTGTGCCGAGGCCCTTCTGTCGGGCCTGGGTGGGACACTCATGACGCCTTGTCACTGCAGAATGGGAAAAGGGGAAAGCCTCATCTTGTCCATATTTCACTGATACTTATCCGTTCCTTTATGAGGGTTGTTCTTAGTTTGCTATGGTGCACATGTGTTTGCTAAAGAGAGACGGGGAGACAGAGGAAGTGAGCCATCATGCCCTGGGGCTGTGGCCACATCGCAGTCTCTTCTCTGTTTTCCTCTCGAAATTTTGGGCACATATGCACACATACCCGGTGTGTTTTTCAAGCACCAGGTCTAGGACTTGAACCCTGTAGTTGGCCATCTGGGATCCAGCTGCTTCAACCTCCACACTACCTGCCGGCCCTATGTGGTCCCTTAAGAGGCAAGAATTTTTTTCTTTTTAAAGAATTATTTAATTTTGTTTATTATTATTATTTTTTAATTTGACCAGAGAGAGAGAAAGTGAGAAAGTAAGCCATCAGTTCTGGGCCTTGAACCGTGGTCAGCCATGTGGGAGTCCAGCACCTTAACCATACCACTTGTTGGCCCCTAAAGGCAGGAATTCTTTGCTTCTTTTTGCATTGTATAGCAATACATTTCTTTTTTTTTTCTTTTTAAGAATTATTTTATTGAACTATTTATTTATTTTAATTTGACCAGAGAGAGAGAAAGTGAGAAAGTAAGCCATCAGGTCTAGACCTTGAACCGTGGTCAGCCATGTGGGAGTCCAGCGCCTTTAACCACATGCCACCTGCTGGCCCCAGCGTATACATTTCAACACATACACTTTCACGATACAGCGTTATGTCGGGCTAGCATCCTCAGGGAAAGTGAGGAAGAGCCCCACTTGCATGCTGCTGCATTCAGAAGGTCCCCCCCAGGTACCTGGGGAGTTTTGCTAAGCAGATGAGTGACACTTGTCTCTGTCCTCAGTTGTGCAGGAGGTGATTGAGTTCTTCGTGACGGTGTTCCAGTTCGGGGTGCCCCAGGCCCTGATTGGGGTGCGCCGCATGCTGCCTCTCATCTGGTCTAAGGAGCCCGGTGTCCGGGAGGCTGTGCTTAATGCCTACCGCCAGCTCTACCTCAGCCCGAAAGGGGACTCCTCCAGGTCGGTGGGTGCCGGTGCCTTTGCTGACTTTCCTGAGGGGGTCTCAGGCCTTTCCCAGTGTCTAAGCTGAGGGGTGGTGTGGCGCGGCCCCCTCCCAGGGACTCTCACCCAGAGCAGGGCGGAGCTGCGTTGCAGCAGAGACGCCCACCCTAAGCAGCTACTCGACACCAGTGGGGAGCCTGAGTAACCTGAGCATCACGTTCAGTGGGCCCGTCTTTAGTGACCCCGGACTCGGCCCTTCCCACAGAGCCAAGGCCCAGACCTTGATTCAGAACCTCAGTTTGCTGCTGGTGGATGCCTCGGTCGGGACCATTCAGTGTCTTGAGGAAATTGTAAGTCTTCTCACTTTCCTTTCTTCCCCCCTCCCCCCACTTTTCTCTCTATTCATTAAATAAGTGTTAGTGAGTGGATGCTGTGTTAGTGAGTGGATGCTGTGTGTTGAACAGTTTACTCAGTCCCACAACGTGTAAGACTCATATTCCCAACTTTTTTGTTTTAGAGAAACATTTTTTTTTTGCTATAGGGCATGTGCACTCGCCAAGAGACAGAAAACGAGAAGTCACCCCCCGGGGGATGGCCTCACCACAATCCTTTCTCCATTCTCCTCTCGGGATCTTGGGCACGCACGCACATATGCCTGGCATGAGGTTTAAGCCACCGGGTCTGGGACTCAAACCGCCATTAACTACTAGGAGTCCAGAGACGTAGCCATTATGCCCTCTCCTGGTCCCCGCGTTCCCCACTGTGAAGGAACCGGCAGTCCGGTTGGTCGTGAGGAGCCACGTCACGGTTTAGCACGTCGGGGACCGGTGGTTGAATGCTAGAACAGTGGCCCAGGTGACTGCAGCAGTACGGCGATGACGATGCGTGTGTGGGATGTAACATACCCCCCTCCTGGCACCTGCTATGGTCACTTGTCAAGCCCTCACAACAACTCCACGAGGTAGTACTGTCTGCATTTCATGAGGATAAGGAACTGGGATAGTTATAGCTAGTCATTAGTGCGACGTTTGAGTTTCAGACTCAGGCATTAAGAGCTCCTGAAACACCCTGTCAATGTCTGTACCTTACTGAGGAGTTCAGAGTAGGCAAGAGGGGTGTTCGAGGTGAGTGGTCCAGGAAAGCTTCCTGTAGGCGGCAGGATGTGGCCGGGTCTGGAGAGATGAGCAGGGTGTAGAGGAAGGCGGGGGAGCATTTCAGACAGAAGCCCGAGAAACCACAGCCCTTGGAGAGTTAGGAAGACTGTTCTGACTCAGCATTGTTACCTGGTAAGGAAACTAAAGATGGGGACGTGCACTGAGCTGCCGAGGGATCCCGATGGTCGAGAGTCCAGGACTTGGGCCTTGGTAGCCGGGGTCCCTCATGTTACAGGGGCAGACCTGCTTGGAAAGTGGGGGTGCCGGCTTCAGCTTCTGCTGGGCAGAGCTCTGCTGCCAACCAGCTTTCCCTTCACTGGGAAAAGGGGAAACCTGGTTGGGGCCGGCAGGTGGCGTGGTGGTTAAGGCTGGACTTCCACATGGCCACCGCAGTTCGACTCCTGGACCTGGCAGCTTGCTTTCTCATTTCCCTTCTCTCTCTTACTCTGTCTTCCTCTCTGGTGAATGCATGTGCACTATAGCAAACAAACAAGCAAATAATAATAAGTAAAATTAAATAATATTTTAGAAAGGAAAAGCGCCTGGTGACGGGGCAACTGGCCCAGGACCTCCTAGGCAAGCTGCTGGGTAGAAACCCCTGCCGTGGCACCAGAGCGTTGTTTCCGAGTGACAGGGCGAAGTGGACATCTGGGGACACTGGACCAGCCGGAGCGTCCAGGCGGGCTGCAGGAGGGAGGACAGGGACTACACTGGAAGGAAACTGGAGGCTGTGTAGACGGTGACAAAGGGCTCTGGGTCTGGGAGAGGAGCTCAGAACTGGACCTAAGGGGAGATTTTTTTTTTTGGAGAGATTTTTTTTCTTATAGGGCACGTGCACTCACCAGAAAGACAGAGAGAGATAGAGAGACAGAAAGCGAGACATCACCCCCAAGGGGGATGGCCACGCCGCAATCCCTTCTCCTCCATTCTCCTCTTGGGATCTCGGGCACGCACACACACATGCCCGGCGTGAGTTTAAGCCACCGGGTCTGGGACTCAAACTACAGTCCACTACATGGGAGTCCAGCGACATAGCCATTACATCAACTGCTGGTCCCAAGAGATTTTTTTATTTTAAGAATTATTTTATTGAATTTTATTTACTTACTTGATTAATTTGTTTTTAACTTGACCAGAAAGGGACAGAGGGAAAATGAGAAAGCAAGCCACCAGGTCCAGGACTCGAACCATGGTCAGCCACGTGGGAGTCCAGCACTTTTAACTACCACACCATCTGCCAGCTCCTCAATTCCATATGTTAATAATATATGCTTCCAATTTTGAGAGGTTTTCACTATAGGGCATGTGCGCTCGCCAGACAGAGAGAGAGAGACATAGAGACGAAAGCGAGAAATCACCCCCCAGGGGGGATGGTCACACCGCAATCCCTTCTCCTCCATTCTCCTCTCGGGATCCTGGGCACGCACACCTTTTTTTTTAAAGAGGTTTTTGCTATAGGGTGTATGTGCTTGCCAGAGAGAGAGAAAGCAAAAAGTCACCCCCTCAGGTGATGGCCACGCCACAGTGCCTTCTCCTCTAGTCTTTCGGGATGTTGGGCACGCACGCATACACAACCAGTGTGAGTTTCAAGCCACGGGGTCCAGGACTCGAACCACAGTCAGCCATGTGGGAGTCCGACACTTTAACCACTATGCCACCTGCTGGCCCTGACAATTTTTTTTTTTAATTTGCCAGAGAGACACAGAGATGGGGAGTGAGAAAGCATCCCCCCACACAGGAGCTTGGTCCCACTCAGTCCGTCTCCTCCCTTTCTCGATCGCATCAGGACTTGGGGCATGCATGTACACACCTAGGATGTTTTTCAATGCTCCAAGGCTGGGATTCAGACCATAGTTGGCCGCCTGGGGTCCAGCTCCCTTAGCCACTATGCTACAGGGCCAGCCTAGAAGACAACTTCTGAGGGGGCCAGCACTTGGTGTGGTGGTTAAGATGCTGGACTCCCACCTGGCTGACCACACTTCGAGTCCTGGATCTGGTGGCTTGCTTTCTCACTTTCTCTTTCTCTGTCTTTCTGGTCAAATTTTAAAAATAATGATAATAAAATTAAATAATAAAATAACTTTCAAGAAAAATATAGGTGAGACTAAGTGAGAAATTCAAAAACATCAGGCGAATGCCTTGGGACCAAGCAGATGGTGTAATGGTTACGTTGCTGGATTCCCATGTGGCTAACCATGGTTTGAGTCCCAGACCTGGCAGCTTAAAGCACGCCGGGCACGTGTGCATGTGTGCCCCAAATCCTGAGGGAAATGGAGGAGAAGGGATTGCTGTGTGGCCACCCCCCGGGGGTGAGTTCTCGCTTTCCGTCTTTGTCTCTCTGGCAAGTGCATGCGCCTGACAGCAAAAATCTGTTAAAAAATAAAAGGTGACTGAAATCTTAAACATACGTAACTAAGAAAGTGCCGGTGCTTCCGGCAGAGTAAGAAAGCAAAGGATGGAGCCGGCCTAGCGGCCAGCCGTCGCTCACCAGGCAGTGCCGGGTCCCTGGGCGGCTATGGGTTTGGGCCTCTGGTTGATGTGTTCGCACCAAGCTCGCACCAGGCGCGTGCCGTGACCCAGGCTAGCTGCGAGAGCTCGGCGTGGGTCACAGCCGAGACCCTGGTAGGGGTGCTTTCTCTCTGGCTGTGGTTCTGGCTGTTACTCTCATGAAAGTAAGAAACTTTAACAAGGCAGAAAGGAACTTAAAAACGCCCCATTTACGGGCGCGTGTGCGTGCGTGCCCAAGATCCCGAGAGGAGAATGGAGGAGAAGGGATTGCGGCATGACCATCCCCCCTGGGGGGTGATTTCTCGCTTTCTGTCTCTTTGTCTCTCTCTGTCTGGCGAGCGCACGCGCCCTACAGCAAAAACCTCTCAAAAAAAAAAAAAATGCCCCATATAGACGTGCGGAGTTTGTGGTAACGGCAGGAAAACCACTAGACACCTCCAGAACGTAGTCGGGGTTCTGAACCTACTTGGAATTTGAAAGGGTCATTTCCTGTATGTCACTTTAACAAATGCAGGTTTGGGACCAGCAGTTAGCGTAATGGCTATGTCACTGGACTCCCATGTAGTTGACCACAGTTCGAGTCCCAGACCCAGTGGCTTAAACTCATGCCGGGTGTGTGCGCGTGCATGCCCAAGATCCCGAGAGGAGAATGGAGGAGAAGGGATTGTGGCGTGGCCATCCCCCCTGGGGGGTGATTTCTCTCTTTCTGTCTCTCTGTCTCTCTGCCTTTCTGGCAAGTGCACATACCCTATAGCAAAAACTTCTCCAAAGAAAATTTAAAAAACGTGCAGGTTTCAAGGCATGCGAGAACGTAGCGGAGAGAGAAGGACCTCCACTTCATACTTGGCGTCTGCCTCTCCCTGCCCCGTGCTGTCACCCACTCCGGGGGCTCAGTGTCAGCTCGAGAACCAGGGAATGGTTCCTTTTGGCCTGAGCCCTTTCTCTTGTCCCCTCAGCTCCGTGAGTTCGTGCAGAAGGATGAGTTGAAACCAGCAGTGACCCAGCTGCTGTGGGAGCGGGCCACCGAGAAGGTCCCCTGCTCTCCCCTGGAGCGCTGTTCCTCTGTCATGCTTCTCGGCATGATGGCACGGTAAGCCTCCGGTCCCTCGGGCAGGGGTGCGAGAGGAAAGGGCCCCAGGAGGAGCCTCTGCAGAGCAGCCGCCTGCCCAGCCGGGCTGGCCTGTGAGCAGGCTACCCACGCGGGAAAGGGAGACGACACCGCCCGGCCTAGGAGATGGGAGGGTCGTCGAGAAGACCCAAGGGCCCGCCCCATCAGAGCCACGCCCTAGTGTGCCAGTGTTCTAGAAGCTTCGTGTTGGGTGCTGGTGCCTGCCCCATTTCACTGTCGCCCACCTGGAGTCTTGCTCACGACTGCCTTTAACTCAGGCTTCCTTCCTCAGAGGAAGACCGGAAATTGTGAGGAGCAACTTAGACACGCTGGTGAGCGCAGGGCTGGACGAGAAGCTCCCGCACGACTACAGGCTGGCCCAGCAGGTGTGCCACGCCATCGCCAACATCTCTGACAGGAGGAAGGTGCGTGGGCTGCTCCGTCCACGCTGCGGAGCTGGCGTTCCTCTTGCCCACCCTCTTCACACGCCCACACTGGCTTTCTCGTCCCCACAGCCTTCTCTGGGCAAACGGCACCCTCCCTTCCGGCTGCCTCAGGAGCACAGGCTGTTTGAGCGACTCCGGGAGATGATCGTCAAAGGTGAGCTATCCAGAAGGCCGTGGGGACCAGCGGGCGGCGTGGCGGCCAAGGCAGCTGGGTCCCACGTAGCTGACCGCACGTTTCAAGTCCCAGATCCAGCGGCTTGAAAATCACGCTGGGCACATGTGCGCGTATGTATGTCCCAAATCCCGAGAGGGAAATGGAGAAGGGATTGCAGCATGACCCTCCCCCATGGAGGTGCTTTGTCATCTTCTCTCTCAGCACACTCCGCACAAGCACACACGCCTCTAGCAAAAAAACGAGGTGGGGGGACGGGGAGTGAGAACAAAACAGAGAGAAAAGGGCCCTTGGCAGGCCTGGCCCTGCTCTCCCGTGAACGCCTCCCTCTCCCGGCAGGCTTCGCCCACCCAGACCCACTCTGGATCCCGCTCAAAGAGGCGGCAGTGGGCCTCATCTACCAGCTGGCCGAGGGCCCCGAGGCGATCTGTGCCCAGATGCTGCAGGGCTGTGCGAAGCAGGCCCTGGAGAAGCTGGAGGAGAGCAGCTCCCAGGAGGACCCGAGTAAGTGGGCGGAGGGGCGCTGGGCCAGTAGGGCGGGTGGCGAGTAAAACCCGGATTCAGGTCGGGTCGGACTTGGTTCTGATCACCTTCCTACACTCCTCCAGAGCAGACGCCCCTGGCACTCCCCACCTTCCTGTTGATGAACCTGCTGTCCCTGGCCGGGGACCTGGCCCTGCAGCAGCTGGTCCACTTGGAACAGGCCGTGAGCGGGGAGCTCTGTCGGCGCCGAGTTCTGCGCGAAGAACGAGAGCACAAGACCAAAGACCCAAAGGAGAAGGTGAGGGGCCGGCAGGCGGCATGGCGGTTAAGGCCCTGGACTCCCACGCGGCCGACCATGGCTCGAGTCCTGGACCTGCTGGCTTGCTTTCTCACGCTCCCTCGCTCCTTCTCTCTCTCTCAGAGGTCAAATTGAATGATAATAAAGTAAAATTAAATAGTTATTAAAAAACAAAAAGGAGGGAACCAGCAGTTAGTGTAATGGCTATGTCGCTGGACTCCCACATAATCGACTGCGGTTCGAGTCCCAGACCTGGTAGCTTAAAACTCATGCTGGGCGCATGTGCATGCGTGCCCAAGATCCCGAGAGGAGAATGGAGAAGGGATTGCGGCGTGACCATCCCCCCCTAGGGGGTGATTTCTCACTTTCTGTCTCTATATCTCTCTCTGTCTGGCGAGCACATGCGCCCTATAGCAAAAATCTCTCCAAAAAAAAAAAAAAACAAGAAGGAGAGGGTGAGCCAAGCCCCGAGGCAGCTGGCTTCCTATGCTGAGCATGTCGCAGATTTGCCTTGCGATCCCACAGTACAGCATTTCCTTTTGGGGATCTGTCTCTCTGCTGTGAAATGAAATGAAGACTCTGTCCCTACTCACTACTGCCCTGGGGAAGATGACTGTGAACAAGACAGCAGCTTACCCAGGACCACGCAGGAAGGAAGGTGTAGACAAGGAGTACGGACTCAGAGACCTCAGCGGCAGCCTTTGTTGGAATTTCACGCCCTTCCCAGCAGCCTTCCAGTCAGGCCTGGGACCTCATGAGACCCTGCGTTCTCTCCACTAGAGGCAGCATAGTCTCGCAGACTATTTAGAATTGTGCCTTGCAGCGTTTGGGCGAGGTCTGACCTTCTCTGGGACCTTGAACCATCGTCTGCCATGATGTGTGTGGCTTTGTGTACACAGGACATGGGGTTTTCAGGAGGGCAGGCCCCAGAGGGCAGGCACTATGCTGAGGAAGCTGGATCCCACACAGCCTATCAGGGTTAGAGTGCCTGCCCCATAGGCTTGAGAAACACACCTGTGCCCAGGATCCTGACAGGATGGAGAACGGGAGGAAAGGGATTGCGGATAACCAGGCATCTTCGAGGGGTGTTTCTCTCTCTCACATGCCTCTGGCATAAAAAATAAAAGGAGATAGGGACCAGCAGTTGGCGTAATAGCTATGTCGCTGGACTCCCACGTAGTCGACCGCGGTTCGAGCCCCGGACCCGGTGGCTTAAACTCACGCCGGGCGTGCGTGTGTGCGTGCCCAAGATCCCGAGAGGAGAATGGAGGAGAAGGGATTGCGGTGTGACCATCCCCCCTGGGGAGTGATTTCTTGCTTTCTGTCTTATCTCTATCTGTCTTTCTGGCAAGCACACACACTCTATAGCAAAAACCTCTCCCAAAAAAAAGAAAGAAAGAAAAAAAAGCATCCCGTGGCAACTTAAAATAAGAAGCCTGAGGAGCCAGCAGGTGGCATGGTGGTTAAGGAGGTGCTGGACTCCCGTACGGTGACTGCAATTCATGTCCGGATATGGCTGCTTGCTTTCTCTTTCTCTTTCTGTCTCTCTGGTCAAATCAAATAATAATAATAAATAAAATTAATAATTTTTTTTTAAAAAGGTCTGGGGACCAGCAGTTAGCATAATGGCTATGTCGCTGGACTCCCACGTAGTCGACCGCGGTTCGAGTCCCGGACCCGGCAGCTTAAACTCACGCCGGGAGCGTGTGCATGCGTGCCCAAGATCCCGAGAGGAGAATGGAGGAGAAGGGATTACGGCGTGACCATCCCCCCTGGGGGGTGATTTCTCGCTTTCTGTCTGTCTCTCTCTGTCTGCCTGGTGAGCGCACACGCCTTATAGCAAAAACCACTCAAAAAAAAAAAAAAGTCTGGTTCTTTCTCCGGTTAACTCAGGAGTCCTCTTTCTTTATAGACACGTCTAGCGGTCCTACGAATGGTTTTAAAGAGTTTGCCTTTCCTCAGGTCTGTTCATGCAAAGCAGAGTCGAGGCTGAAATCAGAAATGTTGACTTTGTCACCCGCAACCCCGCTTCTTTCCCTGCAGAGCGTGAGCTCTGAGACCGCCATGGAGGAGGAGTTGGGGCTGACGGGGGCCACTGCCGATGACACGGAGGCGGAGCTAATCCGTAGCATCTGCGAGATGGAGCTGTTGGACGGTGAGAAACCTTGCCTCTGGCCCTCTTCTGTAACTGAGATCCCCTCTCCCGACCCGGAGTTTCCTTCCCGCAGGCAGACAGTTACTGGCTGCCGTGGTCCCACTGGTGCTCAAAGTCTGCAACAGCCCTGGGCTCTACAGCAACCCGGACCTCTCTGCAGCTGCCTCCCTCGCCCTTGGCAAGTTCTGCATGATCAGGTAGGGCCCGGGGGCCGCTCCCACTGCGTCAGGGCCTAGGGGTGATGTGGCTGCTCTGACGATGCGCTCCTTGTCCCCAGCGCCACTTTCTGTGACTCTCAGCTTCGTCTTCTGTTCACCATGCTGGAAAAGTCTCCACTCCCCATCGTCCGGTCTAACCTCATGGTTGCCACTGGGGACCTGGCCATCCGCTTCCCCAACCTGGTGGACCCCTGGACACCTCACCTGTACGCTCGGTAAGAGGTCCCTCACAGTGCCTCGCGGCCCCCCGAGCTGAGTCTGCTAGGTCAGTGTGGGGATCACTCGTCTTTGCCATTACCCTGGCCTTCTGCTGCGTGTCCAGCACAGACCCCTGGCTAAGGATGCTCCTAGAGAGCTTGAAGCCCCCGTCTAAAGCCTTGGCTACAAGGCCAGCCTCCTCCTGGAACTCCAGCTTTCTCCTAGGTACTCTCTGACTCCTGCAACACTGGAGTGGCTGGCGGGGAGTAATAGATTCTTGAGACAGGTCTTTCCCGCTTGTGTTAGGACAGCGCCTGGGGTCCTGGTTCCAATGACTTGAGATTGCCTTCTAGCCTCCGGGACCCAGCTCAGCAAGTGCGGAAGACAGCGGGGCTGGTGATGACCCACCTCATCCTCAAGGACATGGTGAAGGTGAAAGGGCAGGTGAGCGAGATGGCCGTGCTGCTCATCGACCCCGAGCCTCAGATCGCCGCCCTGGCCAAGAACTTCTTCAACGAGCTTTCCCACAAGGTGAGAGACAGGAGGGCCTGCTGCAGAGGGGCCTGGGAGGTTGCCTCCTCGCTCTACCACGACCTTCTCTCTCACAGGGCAACGCAGTCTACAACCTCCTTCCGGATATCATCAGCCGCCTGTCAGACCCCGAGGGCGGGGTGGAGGAAGAGCCTTTCCACATCATCATGAAGTACAGTTCCCGGGCCTTGTGGGATTTCCGCATAGCCCGGCCAAGGGATTAGACACCCGTGTCTGGATCCCAGCCGTGCTGCTCTTTAGCTGTGTGGCCTTCACCATCAGCTCGCCCTCTGCTGTCTCCTCCACAACATGAGCTGATAACGCCTGCCCCTTAGCTTTTTTTATTTTTTTTTAGACTTACTTATTTAATTTGATTTATTTCTTCATTTATTTATTTTTTTTTTTGAGAGGTTTTCACTATAGGGCGCATGCGCTCACCAGACAGACAGAGAGACAGAGACAGAAAGTGAGAAATCACCCCCTTAGGGGGGTGGTCACGCCACAATCCCTTCTCCTCCATTCTCCTCTCGGGATCTTGGGCACGCACGCACACACGCCCGGCGTGAGTTCTAAGCCACCGGGCCCAGGACGCGAACCGTGGTCGAGAGAGACACAGAGAAAGAGAGAGAGGGAAAGTGAGAAAGGAAACCACCAGGTCCGGGACTCAAACTGTGGTTGGCCATGTGGGAGTGTCCAGTGCCTTCACTACCACGCCACTTGCTGGTCCCTCCCCTTATGCATGGCAGGGCTCACCAGCGCTCAGGGTGTGGGGGTGGGCCTCTGCTGTGAGGGCGGGAGGAGCGGTCAGCAGGTGGGGCCATGGGGGGGCGTCCTCCTAGGGCAGGTTATCTATGGAGGGCTGGTTGAGCTACCCCGAGCAACAGCCCGGCCTCGGCTCCCGTCCTGCAGGCAGCTCCTCTCCTACATCACCAAGGACAAGCAGACCGAGAGCCTGGTGGAGAAGCTGTGTCAGCGCTTCCGCACCGCCCGGTAGGCGCCCTGCCCGCTAGTGACCCCCTCCCGGGAGACCACAGGAGGGGCGCTGCAGCTCACCCAGCCCCTCCCGCCCGCAGAACCGAGCGGCAGTGCCGGGACCTGGCCTTCTGCCTGTCGCAGCTGCCCCTCACAGAGCGAGGCCTCCGCAAGATGCTGGACCATTTCGACTGCTTTGGGGACAAGCTGTCGGATGAGTCCATCTTCAGCACGTTCCTGTTGGTGACGAGCAAACTGTCACGCGGGGCCAAGCCTGAGGGCAAGGTGAGCTGCCCGCTGTCCACGCTGGGTCCACTCTCCCCGCCCGGGGTCCGATCTCTGACACCAAGACCAGACCTTGCTGCCTCTAGTTCCTTTGTGTTTTCTGTTTAGGTTTTTGTCATAGGGTGTGCGCGCTCCAGAGAGTAGAAATCACCACCACCCCTGTCCCCCTCGGGATGGCCATGCGCAATCCTTTATGTTCCTTTTAGGAGTCGGGCACGCACACACACACACACCTGGCGCAATTTTCAAGCTGCTGAGTCCAGGACTCGAACCATGAGCCATATGGGAATCCACTCACACCATCTGCTGGCCCGTTTCTTTCTTTTTAAATAGGCTTGTTTAGAGCCGTTAGATTCAAAGCAAAATTGAGCATAATGTACAGAGAGTTCCCATGTACTCCTGTCCCCCCAGCCTCCCCGACGTGAACACCCTGCAGTAGGTGGCACATTCGTTAGTCAACCACCAGAGGGACACATTTGTCACAACTGGTGGGCCTGCTGTGACAACTGACCAGCGTTGCTCACCTAGGGCCCACCTGTGCGATGACACGGCAGTGTGCGTTCTGTGCCCTAGCAGCCCTGCCGAGCCCCGATCCTGAACACATGCAGCCTTTCCAGGGGCTTCTTTCACTTGGCATGATGCACTGCCTCTGGCCCTGTTTCCTTTTACTCAGAAATAACTATGTTTCCAGGCTGGCTCCTAATCTCCTCTCCCCGCCAGGCTATAATAGATGAATTCGAGAAGAAGCTTCGGGCCTGTCACACCAGAGGGTTGGATGGTGGAGAGGAGGTGGAGACAGCCCAGGGGGCTGGCCTGAGAGCCCCATCAGCCAAGAAACAGCCCACCGGTATGGAGGGGCTGGAGGCCTGCGAGGAGCTGGGAGCTGGGAGGCCTGGGAGGCAGTCAGCTCCCTGCCCTCAGGCACCGCTCACCTGGCTCCTTTCCCTCTCTCCCTGCCTTTCTAGTCTCCAGGCACCAGACTCTGGCTTCTGCACCTTCCGACGATGACTTTGTCACCCCCAAGCCCCGGCGTGCTACTCGCCAGCGCCCGAACACCCAGCAGCGAACTTCCAGAAAGAAACCCAAAGTTGTCTTCTCAAGTGATGAGTCCAGTGAGGACGGTACGTCGCTCTCTCTCCTGGCCTCCTGGCAGGGAGGGGAGGCGTGCTGATGGGGCCTTCGGTTGGGCCCGCCCAGTGACGCGCCAGGGCCCCGCGGTGCCTTCACCCCCGTGCAGTCTGGGCTGCATTTCTGCAGTGCGGCCTGGACTGCCCCACTTGTTCTCAGAGATGAGTTCCCACCAGCTCTGTGACTCACCTTGTTCTTACTCCTCCAATCTGAACAGAGCTCTCGGCAGAGATGACAGAAGACGAGACACCCAAGAAAACCACCCCCATCCGCAGAGCGTCTGCCCGCAGGCACAGGTCCTAGGAAGCCGTGCTGCCCGTCCTCAGCCCTCGGAGCACACCTCGCGGCGCGCCCTCTAATTCCAGCCCCATCCCCCTTGGCTTTTAGCCCACACGTGATGTTTAGGACATCAGGTGTTTCTCTGACACCAGCCTCAGTCCCCCAGGTGAGCTGCTTTCACTTGGCAATAGCCGTCGGCCCCTCTCCTTGTTTTCTAGTGAATAAATGTTTTTATACTTTTAGACATTTTTCCTAAGCTCGTCATTCTTTCACTTTTCACTTTGGCAAGTTATCGGTCCAGAGGGCGTCTCTAGGTCCAGGGTGAACAGCCCCCTTCTCTACCCCTCATGCTGTGCAGGGTCTCCACGGCCCCCCTGGAGGATCAGGCAGGTCTGGGCTCCAGATGAGGGCCCTCCCCCCGGGGCACCTGCCTGCCAGAGGCCAGTGAATTTCTTGCCACCACAACCTGGGTGGGGTGGGGAGGAGAGGTACCAGCATCTTGGGGGCAGAGGCCAGGGATGGTGCGACACACCCGGAGTGGACAGGGCAGCCCCAGCGAGGAGCCACGAAGTCCATGGGGCCGAGGGTGAGAAGCCTGTTGAGACCAAGGGCAGGTGTTGTCCACCTGGCCCCACCCCATTTGCAGTCTGCAATCCCAGCCAGGGACGGTCATGACCCGAGTCTCCCCCAGCTCTGGGGAAGGAGGCAGGCCTGGCCCCCTGCTGTGCTACCAGGTCTGCAGGAGGTTGAGCCCCGCCGGGAGGCAGGGTGGCTCCCTGAAGCCTGGTGCCCAGGTTTTCTCTGCTGAGTCACCTGGAGCAGGAGGGGGTAAAGCCTCCTCCATGACACAGGATGTTGGCGTTGCCATGACAACAGCACTGCGTCAGCAGCCAGCAGCCATCAGTGCCCGTGGGCACCAGTGCACTGGCTCGCCTTCAACGTTTTCCTTTTTTTTTCTTCTTTCAGCGGAAGACAGTAAGGAAAACAGACGAGCATCAGGCCAAAGGGGAAATGGTACCCGAGAATCATTCTCTGGGCAGTGCAGGAGCATGGCAGGCTAGGAAAGGGTTAACCAGGGTGGAGCTGAGGACGCCTCCTACCCTACCACTCCTCTCCTGTTAGGTCCCCTCTTGCCCTGCTCCGCTGGTCGTGAAAAGCCTGGCACCAACCATGCAGATGGCTGCCAGACATGGGCACTGCCTTGGCTCTGGATCCCCAAAGAGGGAGGGCAGTCCCAGAAGGGGAAGCAACTGGGGCTGGAGTCGGGGTGCCGGGCAACGTGCTCCCTGCCTTTTAAGCAAAGGTTATCACCAGGCCGGCTAAACTTAGCTACAGCTTTTCAGCTAGAAGGGCAGGGGGCTGGTCTCAGGTTTCGCTGGGCCAGCAAAGGGGCCCTGGGGTCCCCCGCCCCTGCACCTGCTGATGGCTTCGGCCATCCCACCCTGCCCCAGTAAGCCCTCAATCAAGCGCGCGGAACCGGCCCTTCCTCCATCCTGGCTCTAACACCTGACCTGGCTCAGGCCCTCCGCCCCCAGCCCCAAGAGGAGACTGGCTCCTACCCGGGACCTCCGTGTGGCAGGGAGACGGCCGTCCCCGTGTGTGCCCGAGGCCTTTTCTCCCACTCTTCTCCCCCTTCTGGGCTTGCCCTGCCCCCTACACCCCCAGGGTGCAGTTAGTGAAAGGGAGTCCCTGGCTCCGGGGCTGGGCCGCACGTCCCAGCATGGGGAGGGACTTCCGCCCTCACGTCCCTCTCCGCCCTAGGCTAGCGGCGATGAATAGGGCACTGTCTCCCAGCATGGGCGGCACAGCCTCGAACTCCCACGAGAGACCTTGTGGGAGGCACCTGGGCCTCCCCCCAGTGGGGGAACCGTGGTGCTGGGGCCCCGGGGAGAGCAGCTGGTGCACACAGGCCCGCTCTGCCCCAGTGATCTGGTCCCCAGGCTTCCCCGGCTGCAGGACAGCGTGACCTTCCGTGCACAAGCCTCCTCAACCTCCTTCCAATCTAGGCCCCCGGCCCAGAGAGGCGGGAGCCCGAGACCTGGAGGGCCCGCGGGAGGGACACAGGCCCCTCCGGGGTCTTTTCGGGTCTTTTCTTCGCTGGCGGTGCCCGTGTTACTACCGAGGAGCCTGGAGCAGACGGACCCCCACTTTCCGCCTGCGGCAGGCAGACAGGGGGGGGGGGCGGCGCGCGGCGGCGC